ATGTTGATCAAAAAATATATATATATATACATGTATATATATCATGTCACAATTTCAACCGTTTTAAACTGGTGAAAATTTATGTGAGAAGCTTATTCCAAAACGGTCATCCCCAAAAATGTCATCCAACCGACGTCACGCACTAGGTTCTATGTTGTCACGTCGGCTCGGCTTTACAGAGTGATCAAGGCCATGTAATAAGATATGATCATCCGGGATTTTTTCGGCACTTACCCTTCACTTTTACAGTGACGTCACAAAGTTGCAGCCTGCCATCACCGCTCCTCCTGCCTGCATTATCTTCGCGTTTGCTACACCGGTGCACCTACTAGCAAATGCATCTGGTGATCGCCACAGGGCGCTTCAAGAAGTACTGTGAGGAAATATGAAAGGGGGATTTTTTGTCACGCTGGGTATATAAGAGCGAACATATGCCTAGGAACCGGGAGGCTGTGTGCCATGGCACTCCCACTTGCTGAGGATGCCAAATATTGAGTCTATGGCGATGCCTTGAAGTTGGCCAGCCTACAGCTCCTTAAATGCAGGCTGGCGAGCCTGCCTAAGGTCCAGCCACTGCCAAAGAAGGAACTGACCGGCACCAGGATCATCATCCGAGCTGTCGCGCTGAACCTCAACAATATACATCATGACGCGCCGGGTTGAACTGGTGTGTGGTGGAGGCAGTTTGAGACGACGGAAGTAGTGTGCAGCCTGGTAGAATATAGGACATTGCACATTGCATCAGCTATGACACGAAGCATCCGAAGGTCGTGGCGCGTGGCGTTAATCAAGAAAATATCTGCCACACCATGCAGCCAGTTCATCGAACACACGTATGACTCATAACTCACCGTATTGTTCTGAAACGATTCTTGCGCCCAGCATACACTTCATTGTGCATACCTGGCGAGGACACAAAGCAAACGGGAAGGGGGGGGGGGGCGGAGAACACAAGTATATATTTATCAGCTTGAATTTAGAGTTATGCGACATGACAACCTGTCTGAAACAACCCAAACGTTGATCTGCGAAGGAAACGTCCAGGCCTCAGACAGACGCACAAGCATGCAAGACAAAGAAGGCATGAGGATGCCCATTTAAGGTCACTTACGTATGCTCACATAAGCACAACAATGTTCACTTAACGCTGCCCACCTGATGCCGCACCTGTTTGGCTGCGAGCCTGGCAGCAGCCCGCTCAGCCCCAGCCTGATTAAGCCATCCGAGGCGCAGATGGATGCGCGTCGTCACCAGCTTCCGAGCAATTCGCTTGTCCAGCGCAGAACTTTCTCAGCAGGAGCTTTGTGAGGCGGTCAACGATACCAGTGTCTCGGTCGATGCTTCCGCCCATTACTAGCTGGAACACGATCTCGAAAGCCTCGACAACGCCCATCCAGGCCGGCAACGGTGCCATCAGACCACCTTGGCTAATCGCGTGTATCCAGCTGTCTGACACACGGCTGGGTGGTTCTTCTCGGGTCGACAGCCCCATACCTGGATCGAGGTGTTTGCACTTGGCCGCCACGAAGCCGGCAACGAGGGTCAGCGCCCTGTGCCCGATGTTGACCTCGTCCATCTTGTCGCCGAGGCGGAGGCCATTTTCGGTCCTCTCGCCGTCACAGCCACGGAGCTTGTCTTCGCCCGACCCGTTGACCTCGTCGACCTCGCCGAATTCGTTCAGGGCGGGCATTGGAGACATCGCAGCTGTTTGCTGGTAGGCTGTCTCCATGTCGTCCGCATGCCCTGCCATGTCCACCACAGCTGGATCTTAGATCTACGACACGACGAAATACAGTAATTTCTACGTACCTAGCAGGCGTATTAATCAGACCCTATTACAAGTCACCAGTGCTTTTTCTCATTGCAACAGCAAAACGTGTTAGACCCGGACATGCCCTTTCTTTCGTTGTCGCATGCTTGTTTTTATACACAGACACAGTTTTTTTGTGGTTCAGGGTGACAATCCGAGCGGGTAGCAGGGACGGTCAATGGCCGACGAGTACTGCACTGCCTGCACCATTCTGATATATACCGTTCCTGGCCATAACCACGGATTTGTCTGGATGGCCCCGTTTCATGGTCCCATTTCAGTGCATCGGCTACCCCAGGGTGTGCGGGAGGGGGGGGGGGGATGGCGGGGCGCCGCAATTTCTGTTTTCCGACGCAAAAATCACGAGATTAGCGCGGCCCTCCGAGTCCCCCCCCCCCCCTCCATTCGTCTCTGCTCGTGAGGTTGAAGATCTATGGTTTAGGCACAGCAGCAGGTTTTACCATGATATCTCGATATGCTATCCCGAACTTCGGTGACCAGGCAAATAGCCTTTGTTTGAAATCTCAGACACTAGCATGGACAGTGACACGAAGAGTCCAAAAAAGGTTCATTAGTAACGGGACTCGCATATAGGCGGGCGAACATGTACGGCACGCAGCTGAAAGAACTGTTTACGGCACCAAACCAGACCAATATTGGTAGCTCATTGATGCGCTAGGTACTGTACCTATTAGCGGTTGTGGGGTTTGTTAGTCAGTTCACAGTGCATAGATGTGTTGCCAATGGGGCTGGAATTCGCCCGTGCAAACTTGCCCTCCCCCGTCGCAAACCTCGACTACGCCCCTGACACTCACCCCCTTCGCCCGCGTAGCATAGATGGCTGTGCCACTTGTGTGGTTGTCAGGTCCCACTTTGTAAACAAGGTTATGGTTGGAAAGTCTCGTTTAAATCTCGTATTGTAGTCTACAAACTGAACAGAGCGGCATAGATTGTGCACGCATTGGACCGTGAATCGGGTTGAAAGATTTCTGCATAAAACAAGCCGTAATTTTCCTTTTAAGCACACGCATACTCATCTCGGCGTGCCGGCCATGTCCAGCTGCATAGAAAACACTGCACTTGGTCGAAGGCATGGTTAAACGTTGGGTGTGGGACTGGTCTTAACCAGATGGCCAGGATCAGTCATGATCTTGAAAATGAGCAGATCAGATTACCGCATTCTCCACATTTATAGTTAGCCCGAGAGCAACGGTGCACTCATGTTTTCAGGACAGTTGGATCGGTGTTTTATAAATGTAAAAAAACTTAAGTGCCTTTATTGTGCCGTTTAATATTCTTGCAAGAGGCCACCTCACAGGATGGCATCTTGCTGCCGAAAAACCGCCTTTGATGCCCACTCTCGCCGAACGCTCGCACACCGCTTGGAATATCTCCCATCCGCGACATGAAAACATGCGCCGAGGCCACATAACAATACAAACTTGATGCCACGTTGCACGATAATAGACAGGACCGACCACAGTACTTCTGCGTGACTTCTGCTTTCCAAGCGACGTCGACGACGTTGCCATGCAACGCTGCCGCTCAAGCCAGTGTGACTTTGTGACGTCACCGCCTCACGTTAAGGAGCCGCCCGCCCGACCAATTCCTCAAGCTGTGATGGTGGTCCCCTGCGAGTGTTTCTATTTCCTTGTTCATAAATTGGCCAGCGATCAGGAAAAACAATCGGCTAAAGATTGACCAATCACCCCATGCAGCGCGTGCTGTAGTAGACCTTGAGACTCCCGCACAAAGCGACAGAAAACCGAACAAAACTAAGTCAGCGGCAAATAAAGTGAAGGCTGATAATACGATGCACAAAGTCCCCAAAAAGCAATTCAGATTACCACAGAACAAGAGTTTGACAACTTCAGACCATGTGTGATAATTACGTTAGTTGTTCAGTGCATTAGCGAGGAAGATCAGTCACATAGATAAGACAGTAGTATTAGCCTTATTTCTCGAAAAAAACAGGCGGATAGAGACATAGTTAGGTTGATATTTCGGCAACATGCCAATCTCGAAACAATAACAGAAGTGAATTGAAAATTGCCTGCCGATGATCCTACTCGATTTTTGAGGTTTGGTTTGAAAGAGCAAGCCACAGTTTTTACCGGACACTAACATTAAGGGGGTTAAACAAAAAGCAATTGCAATGAGCTCAATATAATAGATAAGCTATACAAAGGGCAATCGCTCTTTGGTTGATTCCCTGAATGTCGGTGTCCTGTAAAAACTGTGGATTGCTCTTTCAAAACAAACCTGAAAAATCGAGTAGGATCACCGACAAGCAATTTTGAATTCACTTCTGCTGTTGTTTCGAGACAAGCATGTTGCCAAAATATCACCCTAACTATATCTTATTCTCCTGGTTTTTCTGAGGAATAAGGCAAATACTACTGTCTTTTCCATGCATGATAACCTTAAAATACACCACAAACAAGCGGTAAAGCTATGCAAATTGTGCATCATGTAATCCTCGCGTTCTAGGAAGAGCTAAAGCCACATCAGATTGTAAAGTAGTTGCAGCATCCACAGCCCACTCTTTTGGTTCAAGCACTCAGCTCCAAGGCCATGAAAGATGCACTTGACCATCACGACGCCCGGAAGCGCTGACAATGGTCCAGGCCGCTGTCGGCTGCCAATGCTCCCATGGCTAAGTCGGATCCCTGGGTTAAGGCATGTCACGCTGCGTGGCAGTGTCGGCTGCCAGTGCTCCCATGGCTAGGTCGGATCCCTGGGTCAAGGCATGTCACGCTGCGCGGCAGTGTCGGCTGCCAATGCTCCCATGGCTCAGTTGGATCCCTGGGGTCAAGGCATGTCACGCTGCGTGGCAGTGTCGGCTGCCAGTGCTTCCATGGCTCAGTCGGATCCCTGAGATCAAGGCATGTCACGCTGCGCGGCAGTGTCGGCTGCCAATGCTCCCATGGCTCAGTTGGATCCCTGGGTCAAGGCATGTCACGCTGCGCGGCAGTGTCGGCCGCCAGTGCTCCCATGGCTCAGTTGGATCCCTGGGTCAAGGCATGTCACGCTGCGCGGCAGCACAGACGCGCAGCGTCGGGGTCGGCTCAGAATCGCCTTCAGAGCGGCCGCGGCGCGCTGCTGGTGTCGCCAGCAACTGCTGCACCGTGGTGCTTCGGAGACCGTCGTGGATTCGGAGGGCGCAGCTGACGCGCTCGCCTTCCGACAGCCTCGGCAGGCGGCAGCACCATGAACGCCGAGGAATTCCGCAAAGCTGGCAAGGAGATGGTGGACTATGTAGCCGATTATTTGGAGAACATCCGCGAAAGGTGAGGAGCGGGTCATACGTATTGGGTTCATACGCGTTTTCACGGTCTTGGAATTATTGGAAGAGTTTGGAAAATGGCAGAGGCGCTCTGACTATCTCTAGCTTACAACTTCCATCTAACTTCTATATAACTTCTGTCTAACTTCCGGCTATTTCTCCAGCTGACGATCGGATCTCGTTTGTTATCAGACCCACCACCATAAAACGTACGTGCATCACAACACGCAGCGGATGTATTTTGTCACGCAGTGCGGTCCCGCGGTGGTACTTCACGTTATCCGACCGTTGATTTTCAACCGCAAATCAGATGTTTTACCTGCATGCAGCATGTCGTTCATGTAAGAATCCGAAACCACTTGATCGAGACGCGATAATAGCAATATCATTTCGATTGCGTTTGGGGACGATGTGACTGCTATAGTCATGCGTCCATGGCGGTGATAAACTGCGTGTGGTTAGTCAACCATGGGTTGGATTGTGCATGGTCATCGATCAAAGCAAACATGCTAGAAATTGGCCCCAAACGTTTTCAAGAGCTCCCGATACATACGAAAACTTTCTCCAAAAGATGACTTAGATTGTGCCATTCAAGACAGACCATTCAAAGGTGCGCCAGTCAATAACATTGGGACGCCGCAGCGGTAGTGGTTCGGTGTCGGCCAATCCCATCACGACAAACGCATCACGAGCTATCACCCCTAGTACACTACGACCGTTTTTTTCCAGAGGGCGTAAACAAACCCTGAACGTTTACCAGGCGTCCATGGCCGTTGTGGCTTGTGTGACCTACGTAATCTTCGTGACTGACACGAGTTGCTCGAGTGTTGTGAGCTGCACTACCCGTTGGCCTGCTGGGGTGACCTGCGTGACCAATGTGACTTGTATGACCCATCTGACCTGTGCGAACCGAGTGATTTACTGGGCCCGTATGACCTGTGCGACCTGTGTGACCTGTGTGATCTGTGTGACCTGTGTAACCTATGTGACCTGTGGCATGACCCTGTGCGGCAGGCGCGTGCTGCCGACCGTGCAGCCGGGCTACCTGCGTCAGCTGATCCCGGCGCAGGCGCCCGAGGAGCCTGACTCGTGGCAGCAGGTGCTGCAGGACGTGGAGCGCGTCATAATGCCGGGAGTCACGCACTGGAACTCGCCGCAGTTCCACGCCTACTTCCCCACCGGCAACTCGTACCCCGCCATCGTCGCCGACATGCTGTCCGACGCCATCGGCTGCATCGGCTTCACTTGGGTGCGTCGGACGGAGCGGTCTGCCGCCTCCAGTCGATAGGGCGGACCGCATCGGCTGGGTCCGCGGTCCAGCTGGACCAGGCGATAGCGCTTCGGGCTCCATGTTCCTCAGACGAAAGCACGGGCCCTGCTGTAGACCACTATGCTTGATGATGGGAATTAGCCTGAAGGTCACGCCGCTCATGTCGTGCTTGATGTTGCTGAATCGTCAATGGTTGCCTCGTAGACGCTAATATGTTGTTGATTATCCGTTTTAATAACCGTTACTTAGCTGCCTCCTGGGAATAGTTTATTTGAGAGAATATAGGAATACTTCATAGAGCCGTCGCTGGCTGGTGTCAAGCGGACAGGGTGGTTGGACCAGTTGCAGTGCTGCCTCATGAATATGATGGTCTGGAACGTATGTTATGAGTGCAGCGTAGGATGCTTTCCTGAATTAGTGATATTGTCTTAAATTCAAACGTTGTTTTAAACTGTTTCTTGGGATTCTTTGTGCTAATCACATGCCACTGAATGCTACACCATCAAGCCGCCAAACCGGGCAGACCGTCCCACAAGACGTCCCAGCCAGGGCCCCGCAACCGACGAGAGCTGACGGTGCAACGCCGCGATGGGAGGCGGCGGCTGCGGCGCCGCCAGCCACCTCATGCGGCGGCTCGCTCCTCCACAGATCGCCAGTCCGGCCTGCACCGAGCTGGAGGTAGCCATGATGGATTGGCTGGGCCAGGCGCTGCGACTGCCGGCGGCGTTCCTGGCCAGCGCCGGCCACGGCGGCGGCGGCGTCATTCAGGGCACAGCCAGCGAGGCCAGCCTGGTGGCGCTGCTCAGCGCGCGCGCGCGCGCCACCCGCCGCCTCAAGCAGAAGCACCCGGACTGGCTGGAGAGCGCCGTCGTCGGCCAGCTGGTGGCCTACTGCTCCGGTGAGCGGGCTCCTGCTCCGGATAGCTCGCTGCTGGGACGCAGCTGGATCTGGGAACCGCCGACGGCTGGTCTCAAACGGACAGGGTCGTGAGACCTGTTGCCGTTGCTGGGACGTAGCCGGATCTGGGAACCGCCGACGGCTGGTCTCAAATGGACAGCGTGGTGGGACTTGTTGCCGTTCTGCCCCTTTCGCGAATGTGATAGTCTGGAGCCATGATAGAATTACATCGCATGTTTAGTTAAATGTTGATTTGTTTTTTAATTGGAACATTTGTCATGCATAATCCATTAGGATTCTTTGGGCAAATTGCATCGGTAAAACGATTCGCGTAAACGGCTGCTATGGCCCGAATGCTCCTGTGCGGTCCTGCAAACCAACACAGTTTTTTGTTTTCTTTCTTTCTCAGACTTCCGATATCCTGATCGAGAGTGCAAGCACAGTGCGAATACGTGCGCGCTTGCAGCACCGGCATGACTTCATAACAGCAGTTGTCCACCATTGGCAGACCAGGCCCACTCGTCTGCAGAGAGGGCCGGACTGTTGGCCGGCGTGCGCATGCGCCAACTGCAGACCGACAACAACTTTTCGCTGCGCGGCGCGGCACTGCGACGGGCCATTGAGAAGGACAAGTCTATGGGGCTCGTGCCGTTCTTCGTAAGAACCCCGTTTCCGTGCTCTTCGTGCAACAGCTGGCTTTGAACATTGGTTTTGTGTGTTCGTATCATGCTTCGCACAACAATGCAGAAATGCAAAGATGCTCAAACCGCTTACACGTCTTTTCTTGCCTAAACAATTGATCACCTCTCATGGGCGTTCCTCACGCATGGGGTCCTCCTCGCGAACTGTCAAGTATCATGATATGTTCCAGCATTTCCCTTCCCACACAGCTCTACTGCCGATGTCTCTGAGCCAACTTATTCACATCAGTCAGCCGGTGCAGTGGTCTCTCCTCCCCCGACCCGTTCTCGGCATGTGCAGTCCTGCGCGGACTCCGTCAGCTGGCTCGCCCGGCGTGACGACGCCGTCAGCTGGCTCGCCCGGCGTGACGACGCCGCCAGCTGGCTCGCCCGGCGTGACGATGCCGTCAGCTGGCTCGCCCGGCGTGACGACGCCGCCAGCTGGCTCGCCCGGCGTGACGATGCCGTCAGCTGGCTCGCCCGGCGTGACGATGCCGTCAGCTGGCTCGCCCGGCGTGACGACGCCGCCAGCTGGCTCGCCCGGCGTGACGATGCCGTCAGCTGGCTCGCCCGGCGTGACGATGCCGTCAGCTGGCTCGCCCGGCGTGACGACACCGTCAGCTGGCTCGCCCGGCGTGACGATGCCGTCAGCTGCCTCGCCCGGCGTGACGATGCCGTCAGCTGGCTCGCCCGGCGTGACGACGGCGTGTGCTGGTCGAGCCACTGACCCCGTGACTCGCCGCCAGCTGTTGGCCACCCTGGGCACGACGCCGTCCTGCGCGTTCGACTGTCTGCCCGAGCTAGGCGCCGTGTGCGAGGCCGAGGGGCTCTGGATGCACGTGGACGCCGCGTACGCCGGCTCGGCCTTCATCTGCCCCGAGTTTCGGCCACTGCTCGACGGCGTGGGTCTGGCCGACTCCTTCAACTTCAACCCGCACAAGGTGAGCAGGGTGGGCGACATCCTTTGCAACAGGGGCGTCGCGCCCTGCAGAGATGTCTCCTAATGACGACCTGAAGCGGAGAACAGCGGGTGATGACGGCTTTAAGGCATGATACAGCTCGAGCGTCATTTCAATTCAGCTGTATCGTGAACTGCCAAAGCTGTGTCGTGACAGACAGATACGTGCATCCAGGGTCACGTGCTGATACAGACGTGGGCGACTCTTGCACACTCTTTTGACTGGGATCCCGCTTAGGCTCCTTAATACAAGTGATGCATAGACTTTCACGGTATGCTTTACTGGGTACGTACGAATTAATTTCAGTCCCTGTTAATAATTGCAGTGGATGCTAGTGAACTTTGACTGCTCGGCGATGTGGGTGAAACGAGCCAACGACTTGGTGGACGCTTTCAACGTCGACCCGCTGTACTTAAAACACGATAAACAAGGATTGGTGCCTGACTACAGGGTAAGTGCTGAAAACAGACGGATGCTCATATATCGACGCTTAAAATGGGAAGTCATCCTAAGATGCTTCCGCCGTTCTGCTGCGTCTGAGTTTGGACCGATGACGGGGTCGAAAATTTTCACTAATGTTGCAAGCTTTACAGCAGGTTTGAAAAGGTCAGATCCACCACATCCATCCATCGAGCCCATCCGTCTCCAAGAGCAAATGCATTTTGCGTGTCTCACATGTGTGGGCATTGGAATGGGAGCGTTTCTAACATGTGACTGACACTCATTCGCATCGGGTTCAAATACCATTACTCCAACGAAAGAGCACGCAACCAATGACTGTCGGTTTTCCCGCCGGATGGCAGCACTGGCAGATCCCGCTGGGCCGCCGTTTCCGCTCGCTGAAGCTGTGGTTCGTACTGCGAATGTTCGGGCTGAGCGGCCTGCGCGCCCACATCAGGCGTCATGTGGCGCTGGCCAAGCTGTTCGGCGAGCTGGTTGGCGCCGACCGCCGCTTCGAGGTCGTGACACCGGTCACTCTGGGCCTGGTCTGCTTCCGTCTCAAGGTCAGCACCGCCCAGGCGTTCTGTTGGAAACAGGGCCTTGCATCTAAACGGAAACGAGCTATTGTATGCATGTGGAATCGTTGGAGGGAACACATAACAGCCAGGTGATGTAAGTAGTTGCGTCAGCGTGCTTACCTAGAATGGTTTGCAGAACTTGAAAACAAGGCATGTTCAATGACGGCTTAAGAATATAGCGCGCTATTTCACTGATCGTTAACTCGCAAGGCCAAGATATTGGGCTGGGGTTATTGCCACCACCCTGTCCGTGGTTGATTAAATTTCAGTATGGGCCAGTCTTCACGGCCAATGTGAGCCAAGTCCCAAGCCGGCCCGGCACTGACACGTGACCTCGGCCTGCCCGCGGGGGCCTTCATCGCAACGAGACCGACCCGCTGCCCGCCCCCAGGCCAAGAACGAGGTGAACGAGGCGCTGCTGAAGCAGATCAACGACGCTGGTCGGATCCACATGGTGCCCTCGAAGCTGCGCCAGACGTACATCCTGCGGTTCGCCGTGTGCGCCAGCGCCACCGAAGAGAGCGACATCGAGCTGGCGTGGGGCGAGGTACGCGACCAGGCCACGCGGCTCGTCGGGCCGCCCGACCGCCTGTGAGCGGGACGCGGCGGAGTGGGGCGGGACAGGACGGACCGGACGCGGCGGAGTGGGACGGGACAGGACGCACCGGGACGCGATGGGGCGGGACGGGACGCCACGGGACGCGATAGGACGGACCGGACGCGGTGGAGTGGGACGGGACGCCACGGGACGGGACAGGATGGACCGGACGCGATGGGGCGGGACGGGACGCCACGGGACAGGACAGGACGGACCGGGACGCGACTCAGGACGGGACGGGACACAGAGAACCGTGGCAGGATAAGACGGGGACAGGATATGAAAGCTGGTATGTGCCCTGACCTTCACGTGCAGGACGCCAGAAAAGTACAAGACAGGACACGGCGAGGCAGACAGCACGACATTTATGACTAGGGTGACGTGAGAAGGACAGGGACACGACGTGGACATCTGAGCAGGACATTGTGGACCGGGACGGGGCATGGCGGGCGCGACAGGACATGCCGATCAGACATGGGGTCCGGTGAGGCCGATTGACCGGCTGAACAGGCCGGTGGACAGAATACCAGGACAGGACATAGCGGACAAGGGCGGGACACGGGGACCACGACAGGGCCAGAGCAGGACGTGTCGCACCAGGCAACGCGCCCGGTGGAGCCGCCAAGCCAACTGGGAACACGACAGGACATGACAAATCCATGCAGGACATCCCGTCCACGACAGGATGGTGCCATTGCAGTTTTTGGTCGATCCTTGCCGTTCGACGTTTACGACAGGGATTAGCTCTAGACAGGTACTCTATCAGGCACGCGGTAGACGGAGGCGCAAAGCGGCAGCTTATTTCGACCCGTTCCGCCATCGCCCGTTGCCTGCAAGCCCTGCATTGACCCAGTCGCCATCGGTGGGCGTTGGCTGTGGTTCTTGACCCCGTTTAGCCGACGGCAATATTCGACCGTCCCGACAACGTCGATTAGGATCGGATTGGTCGCTGCTGGCGATAACACAGCCGTCATTTATCATATGCGCACTAAAGGAATAGTCGATCGTTAAGGTTGGGGACATACCGCTTCCAAAGTGCAGCTCCTCGTTCCGGCCCCACCTTTGTGTCGACACGATCCGGCGACGAAGCCCTGGATTTGTATGCATTGGGTATGCATGGCCCCAGTGCAGCGTACCGGGGCAACACGATAACACGGCCTCATTGAAAATATATATGTAATAAGCAGTGGTCCACGGCCGCCACTTGCCCCTCCCATGCTGGGCCGAGCCGGGCTAATTTCGCGGAAAGCACAGCGTTACTTCAGCGGCGGTCTATTGAAGAGCCGGACGTTGTTGTGGCGTCACCTGTTTTGCGGCGGCCGGGCGGGGCCGTTCGCATACGATGCGCGGCCATTGCCAACGGCACACGGTCCCACGGCGGCCCCGCTGACGAGGGCCGGTGGTGGTCAGAGGTGGGGCCCTCCGCAAAGGAGCCGCGCCAGGCCGGTGCACTGAGGCCCGCAGGCGGACACGGGTCCCCAGGCGCCGCTGCTCGGCCGGTCCGTTTGCTTGATGGGTGGGCTGGGATCGCGGGGAACAGGAGGGGGCGGGGTTGAAGGACCCTGGCGTAATAGACAGCCGCATCTAGGAAGTGCGGTGGTTGTGCCACTTCGTTGGGTGTGGTCCATGTGTCTTACCACTCCGTGGTGGAGTATCAGCGAAGGGTTACCAGCCAGCAAGGAAACACCTTGCAATGTTTAGAGCGGGGGATAATATCTGATAAGCAACGTCCAGAAGAGAACGGTCCCTGTTGGCGATAATACCACTGGTACAGCTAAGCTCGTTAAGTGTACGCAAACAGAGCTGACCAATGGTTACTTACCCTCTGGCGGAGTCCCGTTTGGATCGACCCTCGCTGAAGTGCACGTGGCGGGAACTTGCTATCAGCTTAAGTTCGCGCTTGTGGGCTGTCCTGCGAAGGCTTTAATGGGGCTTAATGGGGCTTAATGGGGATCATTGGAGTAACAGAGACCAAACTTCAGCAGCCCAAGCCACTTGCTGTATTGACGTCTGGTTAGGCAGGCGCGAGGCTTCAGCTCCTCCGGCATGCAGCCTTCGGAGCCAAGGGTACCAACAAGCAGACGCTTGCCGAGGCGTGGCTTCGAAAAAGACGGTGTGGGCTCCAACAGCAAGTTGGATTTTTTGGAATTGTGCTTTCCGTGTATGGACATAGACCTTATCTTCAAGTGAACTATTGTTGGAGGGTTCGGGGGTGCTCCAGAGTGCACGAAGTGAGGCCCTTGGACGTTTGGGTGGCCATTTATTACGGAGACCACACGGTGGAGACCGAACCAACGACGGATCACTGCAGTGAACCTCAAATTATAGTCCAATCACCGAACGGCGAACCTCCAAACTAGACACCAATCACCAAATGGGAAATCAAACCCAGAAACTGTCTAAATTATTGGGGCCGGGGCCACAATAATTGTACGAGGTTCCACCCCTGGAAATTGTTATACCCAATACGGCATGCTTGGCCGAGGGCCGCACGGCGAGGACCAAACTGAGGACCAGTAGCCATGTAGCAAGCCCCAAACTGAGGACCAGTAGCCATGTAGCGAACCCCAAACTGAGGACCAGTAGCCATGTAGCGAACCCCAAACTGAGGACCAGTAGCCATGCAGCGAACCCCAAACTGAGCACCAATCACCAAAGGATGTGCTCTGAACTAGACACCAATTACTGAACGGTAATTGGTGTCTAGTTTTCTAGTTTCTCCAAGGAAGAAATGAGTCGCTAAATGGCAAACCTAAAACCAGGACCCAATCGCAGCCGGTAAGCCCTAAACCGGCGCCCAATCAATCTCCAACGGTAAACACCGCGCCAGAAAACAATGCGGTACAGTGAACTCCATTTCAGCGACCAATACAGCACAGTGAACTCCATACTAGAGAGTAAGAGTTTAACGATAAACTGGAAACCAGAAATCAATCGCCGAACATTGAGTCCGGACAAGTATCAGTTTCCGCAATGTGAACCCAGAGCAACAACAAATCATAGCACGATACACGCTAAATCAAGCACCAATCACCGCGTAATGAACCGCAGATCAGACTCAATTTCCAAACAGTGAACCCTAAACCAGTGGCCAGTCAGTTGAGGGACCCCAGTCTGGGGACAATTACCGCATGGTGAACATAAGACAGAGGCCAGGCAACCCACTGTGAATGTAATCCAGGGGCCAATCACAACACGGTGAACCCAGAACCAGGCACCAATCACAACACTGTGAGTCCCAAGTCAGGGACCCATCACCAAACGGTGAACCCAACGCAAGGACCAATCACCAAACGGTGAACCCAAACCAGGGACCAATCACCAAACGGTGAACCCCAAAGCAGGGACCAATCACCAAACGGTGAGCTGCAAGTCAGGGACCCATCACTAAACGGTGAACCCCAAAGGAGGGACCAATCACCAAACGGTGAATCCAACCCAGGGAACAATCACAAACGGTGAGCTGTAAAGCAGGGACCAATCACCGAACGGTGAACCTGAACCAGGGAACAATCACCAAATGGTGAACCCCACACCAGGGACCATCCATGCTTCGTCGTGCAGGCGTAAGCACTAGATTCGTTTAGCTGTCGTGTTGACTTGTGATGATGTTTTTTGGGTGCAAGCCATTTAGTGGGAGCCGGGCCTTTATAGTGTTTAATGTGGTGTTGTTTTATGCAGACCTATTGACGGCTGGCAACGTCTGTTGTATTGTTGCTGAATGTGATGAGCCCACGTGCTGCATGGCGTCGTTCGTGTTGTGTTATCAACTGACCAGAACTTTTGTTCGTCGAACTTGAAACATTCAGTGGCAGCGGAAGGAAGTGGTGCAACTTCGGTCGCGAGCCTTGTACTCAGCATTGCTCATTTTCCAATAGCTCCGCACATTCCGAAGTCTCTCTCGGCGCAAATGTCGTTGCAGTTAAGCGTTTGCGATTTGCTGCATGTCTGTAGACGGAACTTTGGTCTGCAATGACGTTTCATGCACTGGAATAGCAGCGGACTGTGGGTCTGCAGCTGTGGCTCGTGAGCTCGGCTGGTTACGTGGCTCTCCAGTGATGCGTCTGGCGCCTGAAGGTGTTTGGTCCGTTCCATTCATAGACGTGCTCCTAGTAGTCCTACGAAAGGAAGAGCGCATGTGAAGAGGTAATGAGTCATCAACCTGGATCAGGACGTTTTTGGTCTCGCACATTGGACTCTTTGTACTTTGGCATTCTTGCACACTGTAACCAATAATGTGCCCATGTGTTCATAATGATAAGATATGCCAGAAACGCACACAAATGCTTTCTAGTTCAGTGGAAAGTCATCGGCGTCAGTTTGTCCCTGTCCTGCTTTTGTTTTGTTGTTGTTCACTGAAGGGTTTTCAGAGGCAGGTCGTTCCTGCGTTCGTGTAATGAACGGAATGAGTACGCCGATGGTGACGTTGCGGAAGCTTGTGTACTCCGAGTCGGGCACAGGGCATGCTAATGTTGTGCGGGAGAAAGGGACCAATGTTAGTGCGCTTAGTCCTTGAAGTCGCCTCGCTGCGAGACTGTACGTTCCTTGTTACTGTGTGAAATCCATCGGGATAACGTGTAATAATTATATCATGCAATTAGTCTGAAGCACTTGTCGCAACGGCATGGAGGCAAGCGTGAGCAGTGTCACCGATTTACGGCTGCGCGTTCGTCGTGACGATGTGGTTCAATACATGTGGTGCTCGACTAAACCAACCCATCCCACAATTTTCCAATTAGCGTAATGACTGGAATGCGGCCGATGCCCTTAAGATGCACGCTCATCGCGTGAAAGCCAGGAGATCAAAGGCGGCAATGGCGCCCACGCCGGCAGACCAGCATACCAGCACAGCACGAAACCAGCAGCAGCTTCTGTCGTGTCGCTGACGTGAAACACGTGGCAAACACTAGCGACAATACGCTTATGACGACTCTAAGCTTTTTGAGCACCGAGCTTCGAGGTGAAAGGTTCAGGATTCTCAGCTTTATAAAGCATGCAACCACAGCACGGCAGGTCATATTAGTCTTCGGGCGCATAACTTCGCACAGTTAAAAGATATGACCACCACAGAGCGACCCGTCAGTGTAAATATACAACTGGACTTCTACTAGACGGGTATATTTTTGTTGAATCAAGCTGCATTCTTGGGATGTGTCCAGTTCAAAATGTTACGGTGAACAGCAATCCAACGATCCCGCAAGCCAGGGTTTATCTTCAGAGGACGTGTTCAATGGCGTCCCAATCCATGCTGCTGTTGTTGATTTGGAGTTTTAGGGCGCGCCGACTTCTGTGGTCATTTTGCGCCCACCATGCTGCGCATGCCGCGCAACGCGCCCGTAACGGCAAAGGACTGACCAGCAGCAGAATTCTGCTTCGGCTCCCATGTGTTTGTGTCCGTGTTAGCACAATGTAAAGGCCAACCGCAGACCACAGCACCAGCGGCGCATTGAGTTTGTTCATGTTGCTTTCCTAGGCGTATGGGCGTTAGTTCACATGATGGCGTGCGGCCGTTCTGTAAAAGACATGCAGCTCACATTTGCACTTGGTGCAACTGTGATATCCGCGCTTGACTGCTAGGCGTGCGTAGCGGTTCGGCGGTTTTTGGTGGATCTTCGCGTTGCTTCTCTTTAGTCCTCTGACGTATCGCAGCACACCAGTGCCAACCGGACGTGCAGGGCTGGCGATTCAGGAGCACAAGTGTCTGCGAGACTGAATACGTTGACAGCTGGCGGAATGTGGCCAAGCGTTGAAGACGTGGAGAGCGAGCAATGGTGCACACCGCCAGGCTGCGCCGCTCGATAAACGCCAACTCACTGCGTTTTAGCCAGACACTCGAATGTAAAACACCACAGTTCGGATGATCCATATCTTTTCACTACGCGAAGATCCTTTTGCTTTGCGGGGCTCCTGTATAATGGAGCACGTGCGTTACGAGTTACTTGCGACAAGTAACTCAGGAAAAGTGATTATCGATGCACCTCATGTACCAGGGCTTCGGTCCAGCAGAACTGTTATAGGCATAAACAATGAGCAGTGAAAACCCACTTTATTACCGTAATAATGTGCGCTTGTTACCATCAGGAAGAAACACCTATCACACAATTATTGACGAGGCAGGCCACCAGAATAGCGTAAACACGTTTCCATGGCAACCGCCACAACAGTTGGGCGGGACACGAGTCCCTGCGTCAGGAAGACCGGGCCAGCGGGCCAGCCCCGCGTGCTCCAACCACGTCCTGCAGCCAGCGTCTCAGGCTGGGCGCCCATCGGAGGCGAAATAGAAATACCCGTGACAGCACGCCCACCGTCCAGCACGGTCCAGCGGCCTGCGCAGACCCGTGGGCCACGCGAGTACCCATGGAAACAAACACCCGGACGCACACCCACATATTCCGATACAAGTGCATAGAGAGCTTATTAGGGGTGGATGGCCGCCGGTCAAAAACGTGGGAATGGGGAGGGGCATCAATAGGGCGAAGACACAACGGGGGTAACGTATCCAAGTGTAAGGGCCCACCTAGCGCGCATCGGCCGGCCCGGCGGCGTCAGCTGACTAACAAGAGTATTCCCGCCTGGTGCCGGCCTCTCGCCGTCTTCGGCCCGGCATCGCCGCCACTACCATCGCAGATGCTCCGACACTAAACCCGCCGTCCACCCGGCAGGCCTGCTGACCTGAAGTGTCACCCGGCCTCGCCCCTGACCGGCGGTGAGAGGCGGGGTCGCGCCAAGGCGGGCACGGACGGACCAGATCAGGTCCGGCCCGGCCCGGCTCCGTCAGGTTCCGGGGCTCGGTGTCGAGCCCGGGGGAACGGGGAAGGAGCGCGCCAGGGGAAAGGGGGGGGGGGGGGGGGTCATGGCGGTCGCTTCTTGGCGCCGCCGGTCGGACGTCATTGGCTCTTGGCGGACAAGTGCAGGCGGCGCTGGCGCGCGCGCGCCTCCTGTCGGATGTTGGCGTACTCGAACCACATGATGCACGGGATGAGCGAGGTATCGCAGATCAACAGCAGCTCACAGATCCGCCTGCCGGACCGCGGGACGGCATCAGCCAGGCACGCGCTGCAGGCCTCGCCCGCCGCTCGCCTACCCCACACATCGCGCCGAGTCTGTTACGTCATGCAACCTGCTCACCATACCGTCGGACGTTGTACGTAAGACAGGTTTTGCCCCTGGTCTTTACAAAACGTTCCACTCCGCGCACCATCTCTTCAAGATAAGTTAGGGTTGGCTCGTTAGCACTGGCCTTCAACACGTGCTTGACCGATGACAGAGCTATCATCCCACTCACCATTGCACTATTTGAGGGAAGAACGGTGTGCACACCCAGTGCACGAAGACGAACCAGAGCACACCAAAGGCGACGCCAACGCCTGCTCCGCAGACCACCTGCCACCAGGAATGGTACTCCAGGTACACCCTGTCGCACACGGAGAAGTACAATTGATGGCAGCCTCCTACCACCTGTCACCGGGAGTGGTCAGCCAATTACACCAAGTCGCACACAGAGGTGTACAATTGACAACGGCATTCTACCACCTGTCGCCGGGAGTGGTGCGGCAAGTACACCTTGCTACACACAAAAGAGTACAACTGACGGCGTCACCAGGAGCAGAACTCCACACACACACGCCCGCACGCCCGCACACGCACGCACGCACGCACGCACGCACGCACGCACCCACACCCACACCCACACCCACACCCACACCCACACCCACACCCACACTGCGGTACAGCATATTGAGTAGAGTGTAGAGAGAGTGTACCGAGTCTGCCAGGCAGGTCAGACATACACGACCATCAACTGAACGTATTCCATAAGGGCGGATCAGTGCTGGTAGAAAGAATCTAGCGCTGGTAACAGAACAACTTAAACTTAAATGTAGACACTGAGGTGAGTCTTGAATTCATATTCGTCGCCACTGGGCCTTTATGACGCACTCAGCAGCTGAGGCTATATGGCAATGGCTACCTGTCACTCTGGCAAGGCCGGACACCGCGGGGTGTCAAACCCGCACCTCTGAGTTTCAAGGCGCTCAAATTAAACACTTCACCACTGGGCCTCGGTTGAGTCGATACTGACAAGAAAGGAATGGCATTGATAACATCCATGGATCGCAACGTAACACCACACGCTGCTCCGTTGGATTTTCTTTTTAAATGCGAGAGGCCCAGGCCAAGCCCTAGCCTAGGCCTCTTGCACAAGTGACTGACTCATTATTTGTGACTCATTATCAACGCACACTTACCGTAAGTGTGCGTTGATCGCCGCAGAAGCATCACTACGACCGCAGCGGTTTACACGTCAATTTTGTGAATACACACTCACCTGCTGAACGATACTAATGCAGCGCAAACGCAGCACAACACGGCTGCCATATGCTTCCACATGTTCATCAGTAGTGACGATGTTTGAACGTGATGAAGCCTGAAAAATCCATGGAAGGACCTCATCAGCAGCCGCAATAGCTAAACGTCACGCGTTCACCACACGACTCGCCGTGAGTGCCAAGTCACTTGATAGTAACAGAGCAGTAAGTGACAGATACCATCAGCGTACTGGCCCGCACACACGGCTAAGGCCGGCACCACTGCAGTCGGCACGGGAGTTTTCTGAAACACCGCGGTAAGTCGTGCAGAAGGCAGGCGCATGGACCGCTTGGCGCGAAGTTTGCATCTGATATAACAGAACCGTTCCCTGAAGGCAGGTGGCTCGGGCGTACCGCCGTACCCGAGGAGCTCATTTGATTGGTAGACACAACCCAGGCTGCTCCAGCGTCGAACCAATGATTGCCGCGCAGACCACTTTTGCAAAAATGCATTCTTCTTTAGCCTGGGTGACGACATCCGAGCCCTCTATCTGCGTTCCTGTCTATTCTTTTCCGTCCTCTGCCATATGCAATCCATCTGCGCACTTCGCGCCTGAGTGCTGTCGGCAAAACACAGCTTAACTGGACTAACGTCAATGACCAGAAATGTACCGCCAGTCGGATGGCCAAGCGTCCTTCGGCTCGGTCCCCTGCCGTGACTTTCTATGACGTCACTGTGCGCATGAGTACTGTCGGCATAACATAGCTTAACTGGACTAACGCCAATGACCAGAAATGTACCGCCAGTCGGATGGCCAAGCGTCCTTCGGCTCGGTCCCCTGCCGTGACTTTCTATGACGTCACTGTGCGCATGAATCAAACCGCATCACCCGAGGTCACTATCCCAGCATCGAATATTTAAAAACTGCCTCTCTATGGAACGCACACGGGTTATGCATGTGTTGAACGCGCGCACCATTTTACCGAGGTTTGCTAACGACACCAAAGCGTTCCCCAAGCCCAACCGCTGGCACCATTTACACAATTTTGTATATCACGATTGTTGGCCGGAGCGACAACAATATCACGCGTCAACATAAACGCGTGCCGGTCTGGCCCACCTCCTCGTGGTTCCCCACCTCGTGGTCAGAAGTGTGATGCGTCAGCGTACCTTATAACCTGTGCCGTGCCATCCGGCCTGATAAGCTTTCCAGTAGAACTTCAAAGCAATATTTCCCACCAATACGGACGGCATGAACAAATGTTTACGACAATGCAATAGCATGACCTCGGGGTCAGAAAATGCATTTTTCGCAGCTGTCATTTATCATTTGTACAAGTGCCATACCGTTCTGGGGATGGGGTGCCATTTTGATGATTGCAAATCGACCGACGACAAGCAACACCTACTCACAAGCATTTTGGGTCTAAAACGTGTGAAATCACCAACTCTTCGGAACGAAATAGAGCACGACAGAATGGGAGAGATTATACACACAGTACAAGAACATCAGTGGTTTTCTTAACACTAGGTGGTTGTGTAAAAAGGTGACACTGGGAGCAGTCTACCATGAACGTAAAACAAAAACATGAGGCAGAAAAGTCGTTTGCACGACGCGAACAACGATCAACTCCGGTTTCGGTGTAGGTGTACTTTCCTACCTAACGTTAGAAAAAATCAGTGCACACCATTCGTCGTGTTTAAGGCGGCACATATCGTAAATAATCTCAAAACAGGTAGAATCATGCTCCTACCTTCGAATTTCAATAACTTCGATGGCGGGCCCCCGCGCGCCGCGCGCACCGCACCGCCTGGACTCCCCAGCGCCGTTTCTGCGTTGCCGTTGCGTAAATACAATATTTCTGCTTACCCAGAACTCTACAAAATGTACGGGACCAAGGTAAACCATTCGTCGTGTTTAAGGTGGAACATAGTAATGTTGTGACCCGCGCAGTAATGGCGCCGGTGTCGCGGGTGCTGTGTGTGTGCGGCGCTCGGGAGCTCGCCATCGTAATTATAAAAAATTGAAGGTAAGATCATGAATCTACCTGTTTTGTGATTATTTACGATATGTCCTGCCTTAAACATGACGAATGGTTTACCTTGGTCCCGTACATTTTGTAGAGTTCTTGGTAAGCAGAAATATTGTATTTGTGCAACGGCAACGCAGAAACGGCGCTGGGGAGTCCAGGCGGTGCGGTGCGCGCGGTGCTCGGGAGCCCGCCATCGAAGTTATTGAAATTCGAAGGTAGGAGCATGATTCTACCTGTTTTGAGATTATTTACGATATGTCCTGCCTTAAACACGACGAATGGTGTACAATGATTTTTTCTAACGTTAGGTAGGAAAGTACACCCTGACCCCGGTTTCGTTCTTCATAGGGCTTTCCCGGTATGTCCACTGCAGTGCTCACTTTGCAGCCCTTTGACGTGTCGCTAGGCAAAACAAACAAATGCACATGATATTTATGGGTGCAACTAATCAAACCCAAATCAAGCTTGATGACCCAGGCCACTATAGTGTACAGTTACTACGACTTCATGTCCAATCACAAATCCATCATCTGCTTCCTTCAGCCTTTTTAATGGTATGTAAAAGTAACCGCCGCCGACTATCTGGCGCCCACCAGGAGTGATTGTCTATTCGCATAGTCGCTTACGGCCAAACAAACCACAGGAATACAAACCAATTGTGACGAATATATGCGGTGGCCACTCCCGCTCAATATGGGTGGAAGTGACTATCAAGCACGCCTGCCATGCTTTAATTGCACACACACACACACAGAAGCGCCTATTGCAAAGCAAGTCCCCATTTGCACCGATCTGCAATGTAGTGGCCAATATGCGTATTTGTCAAGGAAATAAATTTGTTGTAGCACATACCAGCCGGTCAGGTTTCAGCGTCGTTTCAGGGACCCTGCATTCTATCACTGATCCGAGCACGCACGTGCATACGCCCAAATCGCTTCAAACTAGGCCTCTTTACCCGGCCCTGGCGCGGGCAGGCGCGCCATATGACCCGAGCAGTCTACGCCCCCCCCCCCCCCTCTCCCAGATCAAAAGGGCATCGGCAGTCGGTGACGGGGCGAACCTCCCCCCCCCCCCCCTCTCCGTGGAAACGACGTTGGCTCACCGGATGAGCAGGAACAGAGTCAGGTATCCGGCGATGAACCACGAGAGCTGGGAGTGGGAGGACGGCATGCCGTACAGGCTGTAGTTTGTTCTCTTCAGCGACGGCCGCGCTTGCTGAAGGGTGTGCTTCAGAATGATGTTCAGCACCTCGCACGCACACACACCTATGAAGAAGAATATCTGCCAGCAAAAAACGACACACACGTTATGGGGATTTAAAACAGAACAATGTAGCTCCAGGTTGTATCTGGAGATGCGACAAGATGAGATATGACGAGTTTACATGACTTAGGAATGGCTGAGCCCCCTGGCTTATTGCCGTCATTGACACTGCATGATACTAAGAGCCAACCCGCCATAAACCGGGAGGAGCCGATTTATTGTTTATATGCATAAATACATCTCAATCGATTCCGATTGCAGCTCAAAACACATGGCGTTAATTCCTTTCCTAGACTGAGTAACTCAGCGCGACTCGAGGTCGACTACAATTCCCGATCCCGACTCAAGAGGGAGAAGCTTAAGTTCCGGACAAAAATGCAATAATGTCGACAGCAAAAAACATCAGTTCAAGACATAACCTGTTGCATGGCTTTCAGTGAGGCATTACTGGGACAGTTATTCTGACAGCAATTTAGTTATAAACCAATGTGCTATACTTCGTGTACAGACAATCAAACAGACTATGGATACACCCTGTCGCTTACATTTATTTTTGGGCCAATTCGCCGAGGACTTCGCTGACACAACTTTGACCCGATTCGCAATACAATATCAAAAAATCGATCCCAAGCACTTGAGTCTCAGCGCAGATTCACGTCAAAACAATGCACATGTGGAATCCAGACATAAGCATGATTACTGATGTAAGAAATTGTATAGAGTAATCCTATATCACCCTTGCCAGTGTACTCTTGGGACCCCAAAGTAAGTCCCACTTGTCAAGTTCTGCCGCCAGATCTGACAACAGCAACACAATCTGGGCTGCACCGACATATGGGCTAAAGACACAGCCAGGCTGCGTTGAAGATTACAAACGCCTGCATCTACCGTCTCGAATTAACACACAACAGGGATGACTCGTTAATACTGTCAGCCTTGGACCAGGCCTACACGACTCACTGTGTGCAGGTCCCTCTTGAACATGACAAGGGTCACGAAGCTGACAATGAGTGCCTGTGGTAGCAGGCTGAAGAGGCACAGGACTTTGCCAACATTGTCACCTGAAACAAGATTAAGCATTCCCATCACACTCACGTGAAGGCATACGAACAAACCGAGCACGCACCGCAATCATAAATGCGTGATAAACCAATAGTAATGTGTTGACGTGATGATAAATCGCCACGTGCCATATCGCCATAAATGCATCGCCACGTCTCAGGATGCGACACCAAGTCAAGTCACCTGACCTTAAGCGCGGTGGCTGACACGGGCCGCCCGCCCGGAGCTCGGTTAAATGGAGCGCTTGCCCTCTGATTCGACTGGCGGCCGCGCTAAAGGTCAGGTGACGCTAAAGGTCAACTGAGGTTACGGGACGAACGGCTGGCGGCGGCGGCGGCCGCCGCGCCAAACCCAGGTGACGACGGGCAATGCCGAATATCACGGACGTTTAGCATTTGGCAACAAATTTTGCCGTTAACGCGGGATTTCACGATCTGACGGTGGGGCCAGGGCTCATCCAACAAGCGCGCTCAGCACGCGCCCTGATTTTATAACTATCCAATTAAAAGACCCGGACTAAAACTTCAAAGACATGCTTCTATGAACAAAACATGTGTGGTCAACACATACAAGGGACAGGACGTTCATGCCACTATCTTTTGTGAGACATTAGTCTGTAAAAATCAATCCACTGTTCCTGATACTATCCGCGTGACATTGGCTAATTGAACTCCTTGAATATAAGTCAGATTCAACATTCAGGCCAGGTAAATTTTGGTCAGGGTGTACTTTCCTACTTCATGCTACAAAAGAGCATTGTACATCAATCATTGTTTTTAAGGCAGAATATATCATAATTAATCGTAAAACAGGTCATCTATACTCTTACCTTGGAACTTAACTAATTGTGACACCGAACATCCGACCGCCGCAAACACACAGCAGCCGCGACACCGGCGTCATTACTGCGCGCGGTCACAACATTACTGAGCATCAAGCAGCATCAAAAGCCATAAAAATGTATGGGGCCAAGGTAACAAGAATCCATGAAATTTGATCCTCCACGCCAACGGGATGATGGGGGATTGGGTCAGGAATGTAAAGCAAAATGAGAACTTGGCAGCTACAAAAAACTCGCTATATGGTAACTATATATGGCATGGAACATGGATGCCAATGGGATGCTGGGTTGAAGGGGATATAGGGTGGGGAGGTTAGGTTGGGTTAGGTTAGGTTAGGATTAGGTTAGGTTAGTTAGGTTAGTTACATTAGGTTGGTTAGGTTAGGTCAGGTTAGGTTAGGTTAGGTTAGGTTAGGTTAGGTTAGGTTAGGTTAGTTAGGTTAGGCTAGGTTAGCTTAGCTTAGGTTCTGGTCTATTCTCAGTCAGGTTAGTTTAGGTTAGGTTAGGTTAGGTTAGGTTAGGTTCCGGACTATTCTGGCCTGTGCGTTTCATAAACGTACCTAAATGTGACAAGAAACAATTTTCATTGCATTATTATTGTTACCTTGGTCCCATACATTTTTGATAGTTCTTGGTAAGCAGAAATATGGTAATTACGCAACGACAATGCAGAAACGGTGCTTGGGAGTCCAGGCGGTGTGGTACGTGCGGCGCTCGAGAGCTCACCGTTGTAGTTATTTAAATTTTAAGGTGGGAGCATGATTCTACCTGTTTTGAGATTATTTATGGTATGTTCCGCCTCAAACACTAAATTTTTTGTCCAGTTTTTTACTACTTCTGTTGGAAAAAGTTTATAAGTGGTTTTTCCTGACATTATCTTGCTAGAAACATTGAACAGCTTCAAATGATCTTTGAACCATTGGCATTACACTCAGAAACTAATGGTAACCAACAGCCATGTATCACTCTCAGGACATTCAGACTTGGCATGCAAGCTCTGAAATTGGTGCTGCATGGTTACTGCCATCCATAATATGCTTACAATTAGATGGATTTTTCCCTTTAGCACAGGCCACAGGGGCTAAAATAACCATCACAAATCAGCTAGGCCAGTTCCTGCAGTGACCTGACATAGATTCATTCAAGCATAACTCATGAGCAGTTGGGGGTACTGCTAGCTGGAATGAAATTACATCCAACTTCTCCACATAAATTACATGTGGGACAGAGATTCAGAATGCACAACAAGACGGCGGCTACACCATTTCACATTCCAGAGCCCTAACTGCTCTTCCCACTTACCAACTGGATACTCCACGTGAGTCAAAGCGAATTCGTGCCACTCCCGGACACCCTCCGACATGACTGGCCGATTGAAACGATTACAACAGGAATAAAGAAGGTAGACTTATCATTGCGTGCAGCGAACACCCTTCCCAATTGCTTACAATCACCCCCGCGTTGGCCCTCCCCGCGGTTTTCCCAGGCCAGCCCTAGTAGCAATGATCCTCAAGATATCCACAAACATGCGCCACGACGCACCACAGCGCGATATTTGTCATGACTCTCAGCCAGTGACGCTACTCCTTCCTCCTATTCTACTGCTAAATGTATCATTCACTGCACCGATAGTCAACCACGTGTGTCGCGTGGGAGCACCCCAAGAACATTGCAAGGAATCTGCTTTTGGATTACCAGGAAACCACAAATGCCTTTGATTTTCAACAGAACGAAATATCCTGCATCACCAATGTGTCTCCCTATTTTAATTATCCCACCCGAGCAGGACAAAATGCGGCAGGTACTTCGTATTTTGCGGCGGTCAGTCGCGCGTTGCTATTGTAACAATATTATCAGCTACAAATCTCTACAAATAGCCCTCTGGGCTCCACTAAAATGGAGCATTTATAGTTAACAGTCTTGAAACACTACATCCGCCACGTTACCTGAGTTGGTTAGGGCCCCTTTATTTCGATTCACCCAAACCCGGCAGGGTGGGTTGGGTCACTTCAGGCGCTCGCTATTTATCCCTGTTCGGAATGAGCATTGAGGCACGTTGCGGCATCAAATTTGAAAATGCAGTGGCCGAAAATCGATGAGAACAAATGGTGAAGAGAATTTGTCAGGCCATTTTTCGTTGCCCCCCCCCCCCCCCCCTTCACCCCAAGTATGAGGTCGAACCCGTGTCCCTAGGTGCGGCTTACTCTTGGCACCGCCTGGGCGAAGTCCTTAGTACGCCACTTTTAACATCTTATTTCATTAAACATGCTTAGCATAAACTGCACTCTCGAAAGAGCTGCTTGAACTGGGTGCATATAAAAGGACCGTATAAATTTTCTACTACGGGGCGAGGGTTAATTAATACTCTGCATATACAATGTACATTGTACATACCTGGCTGTTTGGTACCACAATTCTGGCGCCAAGTCTGTGCTTTGTATACATTTGGCTCCATAAGGTAGGAGGTAGTCAACTCACCACTTGGGAAGGGGGCAAACATGCCGTTTGGGGAGGGGAAATTGAGCTTTAGGAAAGGGGCAGTGACCCACCAATAAACAATAAAATTCGACGCCCATACCTCCCAGCACGCAGACACACGTGAAGAGGAAGAGGGGAGGGGACGGGGCAGCGGTCACCGACCGATTTCCGTCGAGATTGCCTGCGACTCACTCCATAACGCTGCACGAAAAACTGGCCTACAGATGGAGTTAGTTCCCCCATGACCAACATACATCCCTGGCGGCCAGTACATCGAATACCCGATTCCCGTCAGACATCTTTCCCGTCAGGCAAAGGTCGTGCCGGCCAAGAAATCTTATGAATGATGCTGAACGCATCTCGGAAAGTCATGTCAAAATTTATATGTGAACTAGTATTTATCGGAAATGATGCGGTTCCATGCATGACTTATCTTTAGGCACGTACGTACTATGCCACAGGTAGGTACTTCACCGCATGATTCTTGTGTACGTATAATCTGGAGTTACTTATGACTTGGTGCATATCTCACCAAAACTCCAAACTTCAAAACCTAACCAAATGGGCGCAAATATCTACCTCTATTCTTTTGACCGAGTAAGAAATGTACCACTGGCAAGAGTGTAAAGGGGGTATTCCACCTTGTACTTTTTACTTATTGTTGCATCAGACGCGCAAGATTTGATAAAATACAGATTTCTCCAAGTCCTTCTGAATAGATCAGAATATCGATTTGGAGTAACCCACCGTAGGCGAGAAATCACGCTTGGCTCCATGTTCACCACTATGAAAGACATACATTTGCTTTGCCTTGCTTTTTCCAGAGTGAGCGTTCTGTAACTTGTTCGCAAAACGCTAATGTGTCAAAATATTTCGGCACTAAATGCTACAAAAGCTTGAAACACACAAAAACCTTGGCTTTGGGAATGGGATTATCCCATGATCCGCGTCACGCGGATCATGGGATAACTCAACCAACCAACTTCTCGGTAACAGGTTCCTGCCCGCTGGGCCAATCACGAACGCTTTTTTATTCGCGCCATAAGAGGTGCGTGCGGAGTTTGTCGTAACGACTACGTAGTCTGGGCTGCAGGGAAGCACAGTGCTGTTACAAAGTGCTGACAGCGCAAATTAGACACGAAAATTACTAAAATCAACATCTCTATTATGTCTTTATGGTGCTGCAGCGGTACTACCCAGCGCTGTTATTAAACGTGGCTAGTTCTGAGGTTTCACTAGAGCATGTTTTTGAAGTAAGCCCCAAAGGTAAGACACTCTCACATTAAGGCAAATCTCAATTTCGATTGAAAGATTCGCACGTATTTGAATGTTTCCACTGTGGAATATTGGGGCTGAAAAGAAAATGCTGAAAAGCTTGGCGTTAATGAATTGACTTTAACGTCTGTTAACTTTTAACGATTTGATGCCGTGACGTTAGCTTAGTTAACACATTCGGTTAACGAATCTTTACGAACGAACTTAACGAACCTTTAACATAAGTTAAATCTTGGGCTAACTTTTCCCACCTCTGGATGTAGTCAGAAGCTTCTGATCAGACTGATTTCTGGATTAAGTGCCCACATCATGCAGTACTTCTTGCGTCACCATCCGATGTCATAGGCCGTGCCACTAGCGTAGTTTTGCGACAAAAGCTTCATCCCCTCAATGAGGAGACAGGGTACGCAACCGCCCCTCCACGCCCTCTTCGGACATAGCGGATAACTTGAGAACAGTTTTCCCTGCTCTGATTTTCCAATATATTTCTTGTATCAATGCTACACATACCTCTGAAACTTGATTTGCCCGAATCATGTCAGGTTAGTGACCTAACGCAGTTTTGGCCAAACAATGTCTGATCAAAATGAGAGTGAAACTGATGTATTCCGGCAATACATTGTAACGTGGTTTTCCAGTAGCTTCCATGTTGTGTTCACCCTGTGATGTCACTCCATGACCTTCCAATGGCCTGTTGTGATCATCATAGGTCACTGACGCAGCTTGACCTTAGCTCTGGCCATTAGGAATGTCCATTCGGATCGACGCGAGAGCGCTCATTGACGCTACAAAATTCGTTATCACCGAAGCTGACATGGATGAGCACCTCCTTTGGAAGATCAAGCATGTCGTTCGAAAATCAAAATTTCGCGTACGCATAGCTTGGAATAACGAAAATAAGCTATAAAAGTCTTTGTTAAAATCTTCTATCTCGAAGCCCTAGTGCCCGAGAGTAACAGGCGTTATTTATGCAAATGAATTCTAGAACAAAAAGTCGAAAATCCCATTTTGCGAATTCCTTTTTGTCGACTGCCGAATGGCGATTGCAGAATGGTGGCATGTAAAAAGCTGACATGCCCATTTGGTGAACGGCTAAAAGGCGAACTGCAAAATTGCGACCCAGCAAAGCATCGATATGTGTTGCTGGCGAACCGAAAAGCGGAGAAATACAACCAGAACATATTTGAATGTGGCGCCGGTGAACGGTGGCATGAAAAATGTAGACGAGTCAAAATGTCGGCTGGCTGCATGGGCGTATCGTGGCGTAACATGGCGGGGCGGGGCGTGATGTAATACGGCGGGTGGGTTGGGGGCGGGCGGAGGGGCCCTAGCAGCGTGGCGTGGTGTTGCATAGCGTGGCGTGGCGTGGCGTGGCGTGGCGTGGCGTAGCGGAGCGGGTATTGCCGTGGCGTGGCGTAGCGTGGCAGGTCATGGCATGGCGCGGCGTGGCGTGGTGGGTATCGGTGTGACGTGACGCCTATTAGCGTGTCTTTGTCAAACCTGACTCTTGAGCAGCTTAACCACATTTAAAGAAAATGTTCCGCATTCGAAGATATCTAAGCAAGCATCAGATGCGCTGAAATAAGCTTCCTTTTAATTATTGGTAAGGAGGGAGACAAATATTGGCCGACAAAACCTATTGAAAGGCCCCATTCTCCGAGCCTATGCCACCGACCGACATGAAACCTTCGCCATTTGATGCCGCTTGGTCGATAACCTATGCTTTTCCAAACATGACGACCTTGGGTCAGGTCAACAGTCACCAAAAACACCAAAAACCGTAAAATAGGTTTGCAGACAACCCCATGTTCCGCGCCTATGGGACCGAACAGTATGCAATCTTTGCCAAGCGATGCGCTATCCTTTACAAAACGTGATGATCTTGTGTTAGGTCAAAGGTCACTAAAAACGCCAAAAATCACCAAACTTGGATGCAAACGACCCCATGCTCCGTGCCTATGGCAATCATCAGCATGAAACCTTCACCGATCGATGCGCCATGATAGATATCTTATCCGTCCCAAAACATGGTGACATCTGGTCAGGTCAAAGGTATGTGACTTTTGGTCAGGTCAAAGGTCGCCAGAAACGGCCGAAACCATCTTAAATTAGCTGGCGGACAACCCTATGCTCCGAGTCTCTGGGACCGATCAGCACTAAATCTTTACCAACCGATGTGCCATAGTCGATAATCTATCGTCTCCAGAACATGGTAGCCTGGAGTTGGGTCACATGCCACCAAATACGGCCAAAACCACTTCATATTAGTTTGCAGATAACCCCGTGCTTCCAGCCTATGGGATCCATCGGCATTTTCATATTCGTTCGGCATTATCGGTGTGCCATAGCCGATGGCCTATCCTTTCCGGAACGTTGTGACCTGGGGTTGGTTAAAAGGTCGCCAGAAACGTCCAAAACACTCTGAAATTAGTCTGCAAACAACCCCACGCCGCGAGCTTATGGCACCAAACCTTTACCAATCGAAGGGCCATAGTCGATGACCTGTTCTTTTCAGGACATGGTGGCCTTGAGTTGAGTCAAATGTCACAAAAACGGCCAAAACCAGCTGGAATTAGTTGGCAGAAAGACCCTGAAAAACGCTGCGAGCCCGTGGGACCAATCAGTAGGAAACCTTTGGGAAACGATGTGTCGATATCCTTTCCTCTCCAGAACCAATTGGTCTCATAAGCCCGGGGCATACGTTTGTCAGCTGCCAATTTTGGTTGTTTTGGGCGTTTTTGGTGACCTTTGACTTAAGTAAGGGTCATAGTGTTCTGGAAAAGTCAGGATATTGCCTTTAGTGCATTTATCGTAGAAGGTTTAAAGCTCATCAGTCCCATAGGCTCGGAGCACGGGGTTGTGTACAACCCAACTGATCCGTTTTTGGATTTTTAGTGACCTCTAACCTGACCCAAAATCACCATGTTCTGGAGACCATAGAATATCGGCGATGGCGCATCGATCGGGGGAGGTTTCGTGCTGATCAGTGTCACAGACTCGGAGCATGGTGTTGTCTGGAAACCTTTTTTTCCGCTTTTGTATTTTGTTGATCCTTGACTTGACCCTAGGGCACCATGTTCTGAAAGGATAACATATCGACTATTGCACATCGATCGATGAATGTTTCATGCTGAGCAGTGTCATAGGCTCGGAGCTTGGGGATGGCTGCGAGCAAATTTTAGGTGGCTTTGACCGTTTTTGGTGACCTTTTGTCGAACCCAAGGTTACCATTTCTGGAACGGATAGGTTATGAACTATGGCATATCGATTAGTAAAGTCTTTGTGCCGATCGGCCCTGTAGACTCGAAGCGAGATGTTGTCTGCAAACTAAGTTCAGGTGGCTTTGGCTGTTTTTGGTTACCTTTGACCTTACTTCAGGTCACCACGTTCTGGAAAGGATAAAATATCTGTTATTGCGCTTCTATTGGTGAAGGTTCCTTGGTGATCATTCGCGTAGACTCGGAGCGCGGGGTTGTCTCCAACACTATTTTTCAGGTTTTGGTATTCTTGCTTACATTTGTCCCGACCCAAGGTCACCATGTTCTGGAAAGGTTAGATTAAGCGGTATCCAATGGCGAAGGTGTTACGTTGATCAGTGCCATAGGCGCGGACCATGGGGCTATCAGCGGGTTTGGTCCGCTGTTTAGTCCCTTCCCTATTGGTATCCATTTGAGTGGAAAAAGCTGCTCTGGACAGCACAATTTGGCCGCCTAGTTAACATGCTTATTAATGCATCATTGTTTGACTACGTCACTGTACCTCGCACAACATTGATTGAGAGCCCATTGACAGCTGCAATGACTGGAAATCGTGCTCATGAACCCCAGATATCAACGACTCGACAGCCACACTTTCCTTGACCTTGTCGGTGCGCGACTAATGGAATGGTAGGACTTGAATGGCGTTCCAAAACCTGGATGACCTTGAAATAGACTCCCCAAAATAGTCTGCACGTCTTTGCGAGCGTGAAGCTCAGAAGCTAATGGACTCAAAGTCTTAAGAATGGCAGAGATGTGATGTGAACTGCACCGAATGCTCTTCAAAGGGGCATCTCCATATAACTGTGGACCACTCCCTTGAAGTATTCGCCAGTTTGGTGCGCCGACCTTTCTACATGTCACCATTTTGCAGTTTGCGATTTTGCCCTTCGCCATTTTGGCATTTTGACATATGGACCTTATGGTTTGTGGCCATTTTGAATTCGCCATCCAGCATTTCGCCATTTCGACATGTCGCTATTCTGTGTGCCACCATTTTACCGTTCGAGATTTTGTCGATTGGATTTTGAGCATGTCGATATTTTACATGCCGCCAACATGGAAGTCAGCATATAGCAGTCGAAAAAGTCATTCGGCAAACTACGAGTCGACTTTTTGTCTAGACACCACGCAAGTCTAGGTTTGAGGGAGTTTGCTTGGAAAAAAATGTGGCTTTCGAAATTGAGTGTAAGCTGGGCGAAAAGCATGGCGGGCATAGTCTACGTCGGGGAGTCCATGCGCCTTAAATATAATGAACACATGTAATAGGCTAAAAAGCAGAGAAGATCCCTTTTGGAGACCATTTTTGGGCAAAATACACTCAGGCTGAAATCCAGGGGAGTACGGACCACGTACCCCTTTTAGAGCTCAAAATCATCTACAGAACACAGGACCACCCCGACAGCAAAAATGTGAATTCATTCTTATCAGAAGTCGGCGGCCAAACCTTAATGTACATGGCTCATCATGGCTGGTTATGCGGATGTGATTAATACCTTGATGTTGGATGAGTGCTAGCTTAAATCATGTATGCTGTCGTGTTAAATCATTTACATGCATGAGTGATGCCTGACCCGCAATGCGCGACGCCTGTTTGATTGAAATCGTTTGCATGTATAAGTGTTGCGTGGCGCGTGCCTGTTAACTTGAGTTGTTTGCATGTATGAATGACACGTGATCCGTGATGTCTATCTACTTGAATTTGTTTGCATGTACCAGTATTTGTTCGCGTATTTCAATTTTTAGTTGCATGTACACTGTATCGTAGTGATGGTTGGCAATCGCTTCTTGTCGAAACCCTTGAATGTTGGTGGCGTGTGACACTGTGTCTCGCTGTTTCAACAAAACCTGAAAAATCGGGTAGGATCGATAGGCAGTTCTGAGTTTACTACTGATAGTCGTGTTTGATGAAGGCATGCAGCTGAAATATCAATGCATCTATCAATCCATTGTTCCGGCAATTTTACGAAAAATAAGGCTATTAGTGCTGCATTGATTATACGTATACTGTTACTCGCAAATGCGCTTGATAACTTACGTACTTTAGGCGTTATCATGAAGTGATGTGTATCATTTACAGGAGTTGCGTCGTTTTGATGATTGCGCTTAGGGTGAACGACAATATTTCGCACACCGCCGCTGTTGGCGAGGCACGCAAATTCTGTACGAGAGATCCTGCCAGAGGCCCTTTTTCTCTGTGGCAAAAGCCTGATATTTATTCGTCGAGGTAAGTTTATGCACCACCCGTCCGGCTGCCACGCTCCCCGTTTGTCCGTATCCAAGGCAGCGAAACGTCCGGACCAATGACCGGCGTTTAGCCACTTGACGTCACCGTCCGCCCGCGGCTCGGGACCGTGCGGCGCAGCGTAGATGTGCAGGCGGCGCCAGGCGGTGGCGAGTCGGCTGCTGTTGGCCCCGGTCGTCGTCCGCCGCCGGCATGGCACACCCCCTGCCGCTTCTTGGTAAGTGGAGCGTCGGCAAACGGACCCAGAGCGAAAGCTGAGGCCTAGATCAATCCCGAGCGCTCTACCAGGCATTATTCAGTCGAAATTACATTGTTTGTCGATGTTTGTTTTTGAACACACTCAGGGTGGGAAGTGAAAAGCGTAAATAATAGCTGATTTGTGGATTGCCCTTTTTCGATACATGCTGAATGGTCTGCATCGGTGTCTTCGAGGTTACAGCACTCCCCAAGCAAAGTAGTCTGCGTGCATGCCTTACTCACCACCCAAGGTTTGCCGCCACCCTGATCACCGGATGATTTGGTCCCGACCTTTCTCCAGACAGGACTGCAGAAGTTTTCGCGTGTTGACGATGCTGTAGCTACAACATTTTACACACATTTTGCACGCGTGAAGCAAATTGAGCGATATTGCGCGGTTATTCCAGGTGCTTGCAGCATATAAGCTGAGTGTAAAATAAAAGTGTCAAAGACGTCTAAACGTCGCATTCGGTATAGGGCGGTCCAAATTACGAATAAAATGCAATGCTTCTTAAAGAAATGGTATACCGTGATATTGCTGAAATGCGTTCGACGGGCAGCGCTGAGCGTAAGTATTAAGCTACGTTCACCTACTAAAAGTGTTCCCTGAACAGCAATGAAAGCGACCTGTATGTTCCAGAACATCATCATGTTTATGGATATACACATATTTTTCAAACTTCGAGCACATCTGTGTGGATTAAGGTTTCAGACTGCACCTTTTTATTGGTTAAGCCTTCTATTTCCGACCAGTTTCTAAAATGCCTGGCAAACCTAAAAGTTGGGTAAGGTGTGCCCTCCTTACGAGCCGTGCCACTGAACAAATGATAATGCGATGCGTCTGGATAGGTAACAGTAGCCCAACCCTCATACAAGTTGGATAAGGCGCGCCCCCCTGACGAGCCGTGGCAGTGAACAAATGATAATGCAATGCGTCCGGATAGGTAGCAGCAGCCTAACCCTCATAAAAGGTAACTATATACGACAACATATTGACTTATCCTGATGAATTTTTTTGCAACTACGTTGCGATTAGTGTGTGCGAGAACTTAGTGAGCTTTCCAACTACAGCAAAAACTTGACTTTGACCGTCAAAATATGAGCGCCGACATGATCTGGAGCCAACTTGACATTTTTTGGGGGGCGGGATTTTTCGTGGACGGGTAGTGTAAAGGCATATCGTGCGAAGCATGGGCTGTTTCCGAGCGAACATGCCGTCCACCATGCTTTGAGGTATCCCCAGCATACCCGGCCAAGGTCTGGCCCATTCTATTCATACCATGGTTCATTACGTCACGAATGACAACATGTAAAACGCCAGCAGCGGATCGAGGAACAGCAGAGGAGGACTCACAGTATTCCTTTGTCCACGTAAGCCAGGCTAAACTAGTTAAGGAAACCGGAGGAAAAGGAAAGGAAACCTGAACTCACTTGTCGAGATTACCGAAAGCTATCAATAATTATATGCGTGCAAGCAACACACAGTGCAAACACATATATCAAAATTGGATGCACCAAGCCGGCACCATGCGCTTGTATTGAGGAGGTGGGTGGAGTGGGGAGAGGAGGGCAACGGGAATCACCGTTTAGCAACGCAGGCAATGTTTTCATCTTTTTTGGTCAATTGCATCATGTTCATCTGCATTTGTAATTTTTCAACAATTTAAGAGGCGTACGCAAAGAAGGTAAGGTGAATCTTTAAAATAATTTAGTGCAGCTCGCAGCCTTGCCCTTCTTGAGACCTATGCCCTTCTAGTTTCCGGGCTACGTGCCCGCGAAGATGTGCAGACTTTTTTAGGGGATATTCCAAGGTCACCCAAGCATTAATACCACCCTAATAACGCTATTCGAATCTTGCCTTTTCATTGACCGTGCGACGATCAAAGCCAAACAAACCATAATTGCAGAGTTGTTCATATCTGACGTTCGTTAGCACGATTTCCAGATATCACTGCCGTCTAGTGGCAAACGATGTTGCGCATGGTGCGGTGACGCACTCAGACGATGCCGCATTGAGAAGCATGTTTACTAAACGGAGAAACTGTGTTGTTTAGAGTAGTCTTTTCCACTGAAAAGTACAGCAACGGCTATGGGTGAACCCATTTCATCATATCTGATGCTTGCTCCAAAATCTTCAGATGTGAAACATTCCCTTTTCCAGGGACAAAGTCAGGAAAGATAGGATCGGACTTCGTGCCGTCGCTCTGGTAACTGAGTTGTGCACACCGGACACTACGTTTCAACATGAGACACTGAATGGCAGTCAAATTTGCCCCGTTCTTAGCATTCTACGTCCCTCACTGCCAAACGCCACTGAACGAGATGCTCTGACATTTTTGTTGCCTTTCAAACCAGATCATCAATGGTCGTAGCCTTCTAGCATGCAAATGATAATAAAGGCCTGAGCAGAAAGCACTGAATGAATGCTTGAATCCGTTGTTTAGGTAGCGTATGGCTTGGATGCATTAAACATGCCAGTGGGTATCGGCAAAAATGCACAATTGTATGCATCAAGGGTGAATTCACACTCCTGTGGTCATTATGAAGTCAATATCAAAGGCAAATATCGACAAATTTTGTTTCGAGTAGATTTTCGAAGACATGGTCAGGTCGCACGCACGCAAAGAATCGAAGCGACATGCAACACATGGTGTTACCACGGTTAAATCCCATAAAGGGTTTTGACACTTGTGTTACATTTCAAACGCTCGTCTTCGGTCAAATCACAATAAAACACTCCCATTTGAAAAATTATATGCATGATTATAAAAGGAAAAAGAACTATAAGCCACATAGCGTATATGAAAAGGAACCAAAAATAGGACAAACTGTTTACCTTAACGGCTTCATCCTCGTAAATCGTTTTAAATAAAAACCTTTCACAAGCTAGCAACTTCCTAAAGCACGTGTTTTGGACGTACAGACCAATCTCAACGGAAAACAGTTTTGGCCCTGCACAACGTACATAAGCGACACGATGACATATGGCATGTGATGAATACACGCGACGGCATGTGATGAATACAAGCGAATGACCTCCAAACGAACATAACATAGAGGGTGGAAACGAGCATGGCGGGGAGGCATAGGCCGCCGCGATGAAACACATCGGTTCAGGTCTGGTTTGTTGAAACGAGCGGCCATTGCTTCGGCTACTTTTATGGATCTAGACAACAGCTGACCTCTGTAAATAAGAGCTCAGAAACATCACGGTATCAGTGTGGCTGACTAAAACTGTGACAGTTTTCAAGAGATCTCCAACAGTCAAAATCCTCACACCTCGCACGGCTCGTGATTGCGATGAGAAGCTACCAACTACAAATACGCTCAGAGCAAGGTTTGCAGGCTCGCTTGCAATGTAGATATTGTCAGAAGCTTTCTTAGACAAAATGCTTATTTTTTCTGGGGATGTCCTTGCCATATTACGCTAATGCACTACAAGCCACGAGAAAAGCGTGCAGTGCATTGCTACTGCACCATCGACTACATATAGACAAAGGATAAATCACTTCCGTTTTCAAATTCACCAATTATTTGCTCTTGCTGCTGGCTGACAAATTCATCATCACTCGACAACTGGGGATATTCTGAGGTATACAGTACATAATCGAACATTCCCGCGAACACAGGCCACTATCGTATGACAGTTGTCAATCGTATGGGCTATCCTAACCCCTGTGTAGAAGTCATCTTATGCTACCTCCGAACCTATGCTAACTGTCTATGTTTTCTCAGCCCTCTACACAGCGTCTGTTTTAGTGTGCCTGAATTACCTCCCCACGCTATCCCGCTCACGCCTGGCGTTGCCGCAGTGGCCGCGCTCATCGCCTCGGTGGCAGCGCAGGAGTTCTACCCTGGGGACGCCTGCTTCAACATGAACCGGTGCGACAACCTGCCCTTGCAGTTCGACCGGTCGGGAGTGTACGTCCTGTCGACGGACCAGGGCTCAATATCGGTGAGGGGCCGACCGCCGGCGTTTCAGGGCAAGGCTGTCTTGGGTCAGCCCTGCCCTGCTGGCCTCGCAGCGCCAACGGAGGCAGCGTGGATTAGTATGTTTTGAACTTGGTCATTGCGGCTCGTTTAGCAGTTGTTGATGGTCCCTGGAGCATTGCCGGACTACACGGATTGGTCGCGTGCAAACATTTGTTGCCAAGGAAACCATACGCACGCTACATTCGTGTTTTTCTGTTGCCGCACCGAATCACCACGACAGTTGGTTGCAATGGAGTGCATTGCGTCTCGTCTGTCCGGCACCATCGAATAGCTCCTATTCACTACATTCCGCCTGGCATGGATTCATTGAGTCGGGCAGGCGGCAAACGCGCAGTACGGTACACAATTGCCCAGGCAGCGGCGTTGCCTTCGCGGCCGCAATTCTACACCACGTGAATGGGACCCAGTCCCCTTCCTGTGCTGCGCCGCGCCCTCCTCGACTCATATTACAGGACATATTGCATGACGAAAACAATATTGGTACCATTTGCTGATCTTATCCAAAGAAGTAGCATGTGGCTGATTTGCAAGCTGAAAATGACTGCAGTTGTGGCTTTAGCAGTTGGCATTAACTCCCAACGGAGCAGGACACCTATTCCCGATGGCTGATAAGCGTGCTGCATGCTAGTTAAGCAATGCTTTCACGTGGGGCCTTCTATGCCAAAGGGATCAAAAGCGGGTATTTTTCAGGTCCGATTCCCTTAGGTTTTGATCAGACATGACAGAGATTGGCTATCGCATGAAAGGAAACACCCATTTGTGGTTCCAGGTGACCTCTGAGGTCAGGGTCAGAGACCACGCACGAAAGACATGCTGTGTGGCGTGGATTTGACCTTTAACCTGACAGATCTAAATTAAGCATTAAGATGAATACTCGGCAGCTTTTTTTGTTACAGTTTTACACACCAAGACGTCTGGTATTTGCAGCATGAAAGCAAAAGTGTTCGGGTAAACGAGAACTTCCAGAAAATTAATCATTTTATGCCGCCTTGCTTTGCCTCTGCATTTTTTCTTCGACTTGCTGCATATTTCTATTTTCATAGCTCAGCTATTCTCATCTGGTTGGGTGGAAAACCATCCTGCTGTAATTCGCCAAAATCTTTGGTTTATTTTCCGCGACCTATCGCATGAACCAACGCCGGTGGGGTTTAGTTATATCTGACTGAGTTAGCTTTCGATGTGCAAGAACAAAATCATTTTGAGTCCAACCATGGTCAACAACACCGCGATGGCGTCGAAGAACTCAGCCATGGTCATCGGAGGCCGGATTAACGCTGACCACTTATGGCGTTGAGCAGGAATGATCTTGACTCTAAGGGGTCAAAGTGTAATTTTCCCATGGCTTTATAGACGATCTGATCGAATTTCATACCGTTTCGAAGGGCCTATCTTAAGGACATTGACCACGTATGACCATGAGCATGACTGATCTTGACCCTGGATGGTTGAAGTGTCCATAGCTTAATGAACAGTGTGATCGAATTGCGTATTGTCGATTAGGACCTATTATTTCTTGATGATTACTATTAATAAAATGGTGCTGCTTTCAATGGTGATTGGGCGATGAATCACTATCTTTCTTTGAACGGCTGCCTATCAGAAGACTGTTGTTCATCGGTATGTGACGTTCTTGAGTGGGATCGACATGAACAGCTGCCTATTAGAAGACTGTTGTGCATCGGCATGTGACGTTCTTGAGTGTAGTCGACATGCGACGGACTGTGGTTGTTGTTTGCCCCGCATTCGTGTAGCTACAACACAAAGTCGTACGACTTACAAACCAGGATCAAAAGCAAGGCGTGATGGAGATGTCCAGCCCATGTGGGACCTGGTTCTCGGCTCGAGGACACTACCAGAGAGCACTTCAACTGTAACCTTGAACCCTAAGACAGCTCAATCCCATTCGTCTTGCATCTTGTATCTGACAGCCGGATCCATCTTGTCTCTGACGCTCCAGTCTTTCACAAGTTCAACATCATTAACTTCCTCGGGACATTGCTAACCCAAGATTTGTCGATGCTCGAACTCCAAATGGGTCTTACGCGCCATGCGTTACTTCGGAAAGACCGTTCAGCGAGTGTGACTTCATCACACTGGTTGCCGTAAAATCCCATTAGCGCGCGAGCACCACTAGACCAAACCAGATCACCACCAGATATAAGCACCAATAAAATACGATTGGTGCCTCGCGCACCAATCGCACCAATCACTCACCAATCGGATTTCACAGCAACACGCACATACACATTCACAAAGCAAGATATCAACGCAGCGACCTTGAAGCCAGCTGCGAGCATTTGGCAGCTCAATTTGTTGTGTTGCAGGCAGACTCGAAAGTCGCCGCAGATCGTTCGACAGACAATGAATCGCATTGACTTGGTGTTTAAGCGCGTGAGTGTACGCTTGCTTCTGTGATGATCATTATTGGTAGATTGCGGTGACTTCAACTTGCGGTGCTCGAAACGGTCGACTAACGGCCAGCCTGGTGCTGTTAAGCATTTGCCCACCCAAAGACCCAAGCGTGGACTGTTTCTTGCGTTTGTGAACATCCGGATCTGGATCTGACATGTTCTGACTTCGAGAGCTGGCAAGCAGGATTTGTTCTCGGGGTAATGCTTGCCGACATGTTTGGATGTACTTCTCACTGCAATAGCGCGTGAATCTTGAATCGTCAGCAGGCCTGTGTGTGAGGTCCGCTCGAACAAGCGGGCCATGATGGTCTGCGGACTGTGCTGGTTCATAGATAAAAAGAGAGTAACGCTACGCTACCTAACACGCTTTATTACGAGGCATCATTATTTTAACTATATTATGTTATTATATATATATATATATATAAACATATATAATATATATACAACTATATTATATTCACGAGGTAGCGTTACCGTTACGCTAGTAACGGTAACGCTACCTCAACATGGCTTCGTGATTATAAAGTCATGTACAACAAATCTATGCGAGTTCATATGTCATGCGACTTCGGCTTCGCTGTCTAAATCGCAAATGGATGTCTCCTCCACAAGCTTCGGCACGGCACGACTAGGATCGACGTTATTTCTGAATGCACTTTTTCTAACGCATTTCATTCAACCCACTCAAGTCATTTTGGTGTAATTGAGCGATGATTCTGCAAAAGACTTTTGGATCACTTTGCAAGGCAGACTGCACCGTGTGCGTCCATACCGGCGCTGCGCAGTTTTTTCTCGCTTACGTAAAGACAATCTGCGTTTTGCTGTCGACGGCATTTTGAGCTTTTCGACACACATTGGTTTCGCTGTCAAGCGTAGCAACCGTTCCTTAAGTTGCTCATTTCAAGGATGTAGGAGGCGGGCTGTAAGCAAAGAAACATCCACTGTATCTTACCTTACAAACGCACGCCCAGCCTGGGCATTGGCAGTGCGGTCTGAAAAGGAGCGGCTGTCAAACACGTAGCACAACTTGAGCGAATTCGGCACAAGCTTTCCGGGGCCGGATGTGATCGTTTCAGCATGTCTGTTTTCAACCAATAAGCTGTGCCCGTCACATGTCAGGAAGTTCGCCACACGACGTGCGGCGCCTGTGGTGAGCTGTTTTCCCAACTGCGTTTTCTAGTCAGGGCGATTCAAAGTTCAGATCTTTTATCGTTGCTGCTGTGCATGATCACAGACACAATGGCAAACTCGTCTCATTTCAGTCGCACGTTCAATAATTTTTTTTTGCATTTTTAACCATTATTTTATATCTTTCATGACAATAAATGCACCATACCTTGTCCTTTTGCGCCTGTTATAGATGGTTCTTATATCTCGCTTTTTAGCGTGACACGTCTGCCATTCTGACAGCCACCGAATGACTGAAATCCACCGCATTCAAAATTGTATGGTCCACGTTCAGAGTACTAAATATATGAAATGGAACGTGTTGCATGGTAAGAAGAAACATCGTTTCGTTGTTGTATCGATTCGGTTAACAGTTATGTTCAGCTCGCGCAGCTCGGGTTTTAAATTTCGTGTCCACAAAGTTAACCAAAGTGACCTTGAATGCCAGTGGCCTGTGCCTGTCATGGGTAGCGATTACCTACTGGTTCTGCGGTGTCATTTATTACGCCCCCATTTGTGAGGGTTGGTAGGAAAGACCCAGAAATAAAAAGCGAAGGAAATTGGAAGGAAGGTAAGATGGAAAGTGATGATGGCGATGGAAATTACAGATTGAAAGGACCAGATGTGCAGATGATTGGGGTGGTTTTATCGGCGTACCTGGGGATGAATGCAGCCGGGATATGAAGGCTGAGGTCGTTGGAAAGCAAAACAAAAAAGATTTATTGTCCTCGAGATGGAGCCCCAAAATATATTGGTAAATAGTTCGAGTGGTCTAAATTTGGGACATGTTGAGGCAGTCGGTAAGGCAAACACTTTAAATGCGACTTTGGTGATAATTTTGAAACCAAGTCGAATCGATGCAGTGTGGCAGCTGTGTTGCAGAAAGCTTTGTATGATATTTTACATTGCACTATGTACTCATATCAATGAGGTAAAGTAGGGAAAGATTCCCCTGGTCTGTTGCTGACAAAATGGCAACACAAGCGTGCGGAAGAGCAGTGGAACAAGTCAGGCGGCCGGTGATCGCCCAAGGCAGCAGCCGGCGGGCCTGAGTAGTGGAGAGGTGGTGATCGCCCAGGACAGCAGCCGGTGGGCCCGAGTAGTGGAGAGGTGGTGATCGCCCAGGGCAGCAGCCAGTGGGCCCGAGTAGTGGAGAGGTGGTGATCGCTTAGGGTAGCAGCCGGCGGGCCCGAGTAGTGGAGAGGTAGTGATTGCCCAGGGCAGCAGCCAGTGGGCCCGAGTAGTGGAGAGGTGGTGATCGCTTAGGGTAGCAGCCGGCGGGCCCGAGTAGTGGAGAGGTGGTGATTGCCCAGGACAGTAGAGGAGAGGTCAGCCCAAAAGCACCCTCACGGTACTCCCAGTCTCGCAGGCGCTCGCTTCAAGGAAGGACGGTCTTTGCACTGAGAATTGCAGTCAAATTGACACGAAAACGCCGTTGTCACTCCAAAATGGCGCCCCAAGGTGAGGCGGAGTGGGAAGCAGAGCCGCATATGACGGCGTTTCGCGCGGGTGACGCACGCGGTCGCACCCGGCTGCGTGCGTACTGATGCGGCATATAGATGCGGCCGCCCTTAGCAGTGATCAACGCTTATTCTGATGTCTAGGCATGGTGTGCTCGTGTCTGAGCGGGCCATGACTAGTGCGGTCGCCTTGTCGCCACGGCAACAGGTGCTGGTGCACCGTCTCGCGAAACAACGGCTGTAACAGGCCCGATGAGGAACTTACTAAGCCGCCAAATTCATAACAGAGGTCGGGAAATAAATCCTGTCTATCTTAACAAATATATTGCCTCTGTGGCAACACCACGAACAGCACAAGTCAAAGTGACAGGAGGCCACGGTCAGGCATGCCTTGCGGTGCATGAGCCGCGAATATTGTATCCTAGTCGGAACAGTACTTTCCTCAACGCATTACAATCGACCAAAATGATCAGTCTTATGTGTAATGTCCCATGTGGGATGTATTATTCTCCGACACCTGCTAGCTGACCCATGCGAGCAATCTTTCCAGAAAAAAAACGTGCCATTTTTTACTCCTTAACGATTTATTCACGGCGAAGCTCTCGTGACGCTTCGAAATCGTCTCTTGCAAAATTCCGGTGCACCCATTTTTTTTACATATGTAACCCGGACTACCATAAGCACACCCCGCTGAAGACTGTGGCAAACCACTTCGGCTCTCACAAACAGCACTCTTCACGCAGATGTGGTGACAATTATCGGGTGCTTGGCTTCAGGTATACTGTGACATGGACAAAGGCCGATGGACCAACGTCCTCACCAGGGGCATCGACGGCTCAGGGAACTTAAAAGACCAGCAGAAGTCCTTGGCATCAGCCGACCTGAGCTCCAACGAGATGGAGCTGGGGTTCGGAGAGCCTGCATCGGAGGAACACTTCAGAGGTAAGCTGCGTCATATGGAGCTGGGGTTCGGAGAGCCTGCATCGGAGGAACACTTCAGAGGTAACCTGCGTCATATGGAGCTGGGGTTCGGAGAGCCTGCATCGGAGGAACACTTCAGAGGTAAGCTGCGTCATGGCAAAAGAAACGCATGATTACCCAGAAGCTGAGACGATCCCGCTCTCCGCATCGAGCGGAGCTGGGAGCCAGTTCCAGAATGAGAGTGCATCGTGTGGTCCAGGGGCCCATCGAGCTTGACCTATGTCTGTGATCGCACCACTTCATCGTTTTGGCCAAATTTAACTAGTCATCCGATTAGATTAGAATCCGATTAGAAAGTCATTTCCTAGATAAGGCCTCACACCTTATGCGCCTTACCAAGACGCGCTCCCAGGTGTCACCCTGTCGGCACGCGCCACGCGCCAGGTCGGCCTGGTGTGCACATTCCGTCACCCGGGGGCTGGTTCGGAATGGGGTGCGCTCGGGTGATAGGTTAAACTGACCCCCTGAGTTCTCAAACGGCAATACGTCCGTGAACACCAAACTCGTGAGACAGATAGGACTTTATGTTGAATCATCTATTTCACATTTGGAAGCAACTCTGTAATGACCTTTGGGTCAAATAACACCAGACAGGCAAGCTCCAGGTCAGAGTGCGAAATGCCATCGGACCCCCCTCACGCAGGCAGCTTTAACCCGGATCCGTCCTGTAGGCAAAATGTCGAGCTTATTTAATCTTTAAAAGGTGAATGTAACCGAAAACTTAAGAGATTATTGGAATAAACACATTTACAGGGACATCAAGTACTACCTTATGCCGCATGCCCCTTAAAGTAAAAGTATGATCGAGACGTTTTTTTCGGTCAGTGACGTTCCATGACTCTTATGAAGTCATAACAATAAATGTTTTGACCTTGTGATCCAGGAATTCGAAATCAAATGAGCGTCAAAAATATCCCAAAATGCTAGATTTTTATTAAAAACATGTTAGTTGTGAACTTTGCCTAACCTTCAAACCTGACCTAATGTCAATGGAATCAGCGGTAATCCTTATTCAAAATGTCTAATTCCATAATACTTACCTTTAAGCTGTATGACCTTGCCTTAAGCTTTGTTGTCACATCATATTAAGCAACTCCCCGAGCTGTCTTCGCTGACTGGCACGGCATGACTTTGATCTGATATATGCCAGTGACCTTGCAAGGCATCTAATATTTACCAACACCAAAGCTTTGGCTATTTCCTTCCTTACACCTAAACAAAGTTAGGTTGGCGCGATTGCACCGGCATGTTTGAAAATCATCGTGAAAAACCCCTGCGAGAGGAATCGACAAGGATTTCATTAATGGCAAGGATAGTGATGGCAAGCATTTATGGAAAGCAGAGGTGTTATCATCTAAACTAAATGCTCTCATCAATGCTCACATGAAATTTAACACCACTCATAAAAAATAACCGTCACAGAACTTTGCCTTCACAGAACTTCTGCATAAATTTTGAAACAAGCCTTGTAATGCCGGTTCCTTGGCAACGTCTTACCATCGCTACACACGTTTGCTGCAATGTCAATGGTTGACTTCCTCATCCCGCACCGTATGAAAAGTTTTGGGCGTCTCAGTTGCAGTCAGCACAAAAGCGGAAGCAAGCACCGCCGTTGCACTAAACAGATTGTCCAAAAGTATTTTGTTGCTACGAGATCTCTCAACATATGAATCGTATGTCGCTCCTGGTCTGGTGTAGACCTGCATGTGGATTCTGGCGCATCGGTGTCTTATGCTCTGGGCTTAAGACTGTTTCATTCCTTGGGGTTTCGTGCCTCCAGCTCTGCTGCCGAGGTTGTTGCACCTCCTGCTCCGGTGCCAGGGTTTCCTGCCTCCTGCTCCGTTACAAGGAGTGTCGTGCGTGCTGCTCCGTTACCACGGGTATCGTACCTGCTTGCTCCGTTACCAGGGGTTTCACGTCCCCTGCCTTTGCCATGGACGTCGTACCTGATGCAGCGTCTGGAGGAGCAATCTCAGCTGCGCGTGGACCTGGTGGCTGAGGATGGCACCGAGTACTTCAGCGTGTTTAACAATGCGCAGGCCAGACGTCCGACGGAAAGACGGCCCCCGCGGGTTCATGTTCGATAATTTAGAGTACGCGTTATGGGAAATGCCGGTAAGTAAACGCAGTTTGTCTCTGGCACCAAGTGCGGTATGATGTCATGAATCAGATATTATCACATTGTGAAAAATTATGTCGGTGTTTATTGAATTGACCAATAACCGCACCGCAATGACACGTGGGACACATGAACACCACATTTCCATTGTAAGTTTTGTTCGAAACAAATTAAAAGCACAAACCACATACGCGAATTAATGGTGCCTTATCTAGCAGTAGAAAGGCATCAAAATATTTATCAAAGTTGCTAGGAATATACACATGATGGATCAGAGGGCTCGCAAAGGAGAAGAAATTTCAAGAGACCCCTCCGGAGTGCAATGTATTGCCTGTGGAGCTACCAGAACTATTTCAATAAATAGGAGCCGCACTTACTCACTCCAGCATTGTTTCACGAATACCTAATTTTGTACCAAATCTGGAATGTGCGGAAAATCGAATAAACAGGGAACAATTCATCGTTTATTGTCAGCCCTACCAAAATGGTTAGTATACCTTATTTTGAAGCGCGTTTTGTGTTGTCATCATGTCCCACTTCGTCATTTTTCGTGAGCAATGTTTTGTGCAATCGAACCAATGCAAAAAGTACCGCAAATGCAAAATGGCAAAAAAGCTCATTATGATGAAACAAAACGCATATGTAATGCAAATTTACGACTATGTTTGCGACTGTTGCGACAAACCGTAGGCTTTGCTTGCGCCCTATCTTTTTTATATTTCAGATTCGACGTCAAATAGAGTCCCTGCCAAATAACCCTAACGCGAAAGGGCTTTTGATTGGGTGGTATACATATTTGTGGTCTTGGAGCTCGTGAATTACCTTGGATTCTTGCGTCAGGCTCTGCTATTGATTATATGCTACCTGATGGTTATGCATGTCACCAACAGTATTAAAAGCCAATGCAAGCATTTGGACCACAAAAAATACAAAACAACATTGTGTAGGTAGAGGCTTGGCTATTCAAAACTCTGCCATTTTGGTCGGGTTGGATCGTACACGATTTTAAGTTTGATTCATTTTAGAAATGATGCAATAGGGAAAAACACCCACGGGTGATATCTCGCCAAGAAGTTATGTGGCCGATAATGGGCGCAAAAAAACGTTTCTTTTGACTCAAGACTTTGACACTCGTGAGAAAGAGTTGAATGTTCAGCCTATCATGGCATGGAGTGCGCAAAGGTGGGTCGTTGCCCAACAGATGACGAGCGTCTGTTTGGTACGTG